TGAGGAGTGGGAAAGGAAAAAAAAAGAAAAGAAAAGGTGTAAAGTGAAAGAAGATGGATGCATCCTTGAACCTTCGCTGGTTGGACTGACATAAGAATCCAGGCTGGTGATCTCTATTTCTCTCTCTCTCTCTCTCTCTCTCTCTTCTTTTTTCCCTTTTTCTTTATTATCACTAGGTAACACAAGGCATACTATATTGCTTGCCATAAGTCATTACATAATTAGTCAATTATTGTGTATAATTAGTGCATTGTGGGAAATTGAAAAAATATCTGGATGTTAAGACTCATCTCAATGTTGTCCACTCCATAGGGGATTTATCAATCTAAGTCACTTGTCTCCCTCATTTGAGCAGCTGGTGACATGTACCACCCAGGAGCATCTGCTAGGGCCAAAAAACTCTTGCTGATGATGAGCTGTTTTATTCAACTCCAACAGACAGAAATCAAGATGTAAAGAGGCCTTGGCGGAACCCCCCACCATGTTACAATGCACGAGAGCTTAACCTGTCGAGGCTATTTTGGTTATTATGTCTGGCAGGCTGCTAGTCCTGCCCTGTTGTAACCCAGTTCTGTGCTGGCACTAACTGCAACCTGGAGTCCTTCCACATATGTCGGACTGTGCAATGCAAAGAGAGGGATGAGCCCGTCCTTGCCTGCAGCCTCAGCAGCGGCCAAGAGAGCCAGCAAGTCCTTGCTCTGAATTCACTTTCCTGGCTCCTTCTGCTCCTACCTACCATCCCCTTGAATTCCTTCAACACAGGAAAACCCTCACCACAGTTATACCTCAGGCTCCTGGGAGGCATTTGGGTATCCAAAGAGGTAATCCCTGCCTAACTCAGAAAGACTCAACCTTGGGACTTTAGGAAGCCAGAGGATACAAAACCCCACTGGATCAGTGGGCCCAGACACTGTAATTGCTTGCTGTGGCAACTCAGGCCCCAGGGACATAGTACTGAAGGAGGGAGCTCCAGCACACCAGGCAAAAACTTCTGCCACTGTGGAGGATGGAGGCCAGCCCAACGCTGCCTCCCAGTTCCCATGGCACAGCTGGGATGTACCACAGACCTACAGAGCCTCGGCACTGGTACTCACAAGGGCACTCACATTCAGCCTTCAGGTCATGTCATTATGAACTCTTGCAATCCTGACCTAGACTTTTCCCTGTAGAAACGGAGCTGCAATAGAAATTAAACTGGGATTTGTGGGACTGAGCAGCAAAAAAACCCCAACAAAACTACTTTCTGCATCAAGAAGGGAAGAAGATGTCCAGAAGGAAGGAAAAAGTGGGCCACATGCAATGGCCATCTATCCACTTTCATCTGGAGCCAGGACAACACCAACAACAGCATCACTGGCTTAAAAATTAGATGCATGCTGTGAAGTGCATTCATTTTGTTCCTTTCATACAAGACTACAAAACCCAACAGCAATGCTAAGAAAACAGCTGACGCTCTTCAACTCATATTCCTTCCCCTTGAAAACTGGCTACTAAAGAATACAATCAGCTGTAATAAGAAGCATAACAAGCTAGCCAAAGTCCCACAACAGCCAGCAAATTTCAAACTGCAGAATACACAGAGCAACCTTTACCTCAGCATTTCTTACAATGCCCATGGGATACTCCCAGGCACAAGAGCACTCTGTACTCACTGGAGATGGTGTCTGACTCTGATTTATTTGCTGACAGGTCTTCCACAGAGGTATTGCTCCCTTCAGCACCCACGCCACATCCTCGCGGCCCCATGGCAGTGGACCGTCTCCTCTCGTGAATCTCATCTGAGATCATCTCCAGGTTTTTCAGGGCAGTCTTATACTCTCCCTTTGCCAGGGCCAGTTTTGCCTGAAGGTCATCCACCATCTTCTTCAGTTGCTAACAAGAGAGACAGGTATTAGATGTGCTTTCATTATGAACAACACACAGTATGAAGTTCTCATTACATGTCTACCTGACCTGGCTGTGCACCAGCAAGCTAGCATGAACCAGGGTTCATATCGACATGATGGGAGAGTTCATAATTCAAAAGCACTCCTGTACAAGCAGTGGCACTTGTCCAGGAGACAGCATCAAGGCAAACCACGGCAGACAGGGGCTAGGACTGCCTCTGGGGCGTGGTAACACCCCCAACTGAGCACAGAGCAGGGGTCCCTTGGACAGAGCACAGAGCAACTAAGCACAGAGCAGGGTCTCTTGTTAACATGAGTGCAGCTCTCAACAGTATGTCACTGCTTATCCCACAACCACCCCAAAGGACTTGCCGGCAGCCCCTGTCTTCATGGCACAGCATGGCTGCAGGTCATCCCTAAAGGGACTAAGCCTCACTCTGCTCTGGGCACCAAACCTGTCACTTCTTGGTCACTAAACCTGCAAACCAGAAAGCAGCAAACCTCAAACCCTGACAGCTGTAACACTGCAAATCCTGTATCCCCAGACACAAACCCCACTCTAAAGCAAGGGCAAAAGTGTTGTACACCCTATCCCCCAAATGGAAAACACCACTTCAGTATCTATAGCTGTCTCAACTCTGGTTCATATTGTACGCTAAAAGCAATCTGTGATGTCTTTTGTATTAAATTTTACACAGCCGTTCTTCAGGAAGGCACCAAGCAGCTGTCACGGAGAAGCAACAGGCCCCCAAACCGCAGGCTTTCGCCCATGGAGAAAGAGATTTCTCAGAAGGCGGCTATAGCCAGAAGGGACAATCAGGCTGGCACCCAGCCCAGGACAGGTGAGGGCTTGGCTCCATGCAGCGGCCGCTGACCACAATGGCACAGGCAGGCAAGACAGAGGAGCAGAGGGCAGCCCAAGCCTGGACCCTGGCAAGGAAAAGGTGCACACCTGAGTCTCTGTGGCTTATAAAGAGCTGTTGCATCTCAAGCAGCCCAGACAAGGGCTCACAGAGGTAGTGTGGGGCATACCTTGCACCCCAGGCGAGGAATGGGAATCTTCTAGCTAGGCTCCTTCTGACCTAGCACCCCGCTGGAGCCTTCCTGCACCCAACAGTGGCCAACAGAGCAAGGCAATGTACTCCACTCAGACCCTGTGCACGTCCCACACACCTACAGCACCAGCCACTACCCTTCAACTTGGAGCCAGGATCCCAGTTTCTGAGGGCCACATGCAGCAAAAGTCACACAAATAGAAACACAGCGATTCCTGCCTTTGAATTTTTAGTGCAACTTTGCTCTCCCACCCCTGGCAGCTCCAAGGCTAAGGACTGCAATAGCAGGGCTTACCATCCCGTGCACAACTGCCATGCCCACCCTGGGGCCACTGTGCCCTGCAAGGCACATGCTGTGCCCAAGCACTGGCTAGACATCATCTCACCACACAAACTGCAGCAGAGAGATGCCAAAAAAAGCTCTGGCAGCCTATCCAGCCAAACCCAAAATCCCACTTCTGCCAAGCCCAAAATCAGAAATTCACATCTGCGTGATGTTTGGGAACTACAAGCAGGTCACTTGTTCTGTTAATTGACCCAACCAGTGAACAGAAAAGAGCCCCCCAAGCACAGTTAAATAGTCTGATGCATAAAATATAGGAAAACAAACAAATCAACCAACCAACCCTGGAGACTTCAAACTACAAGTAAAGACAGTCAAACTGTATTTGTTCAGTTCTGGCACTAAGCAGCAGGGTTTGAACACTCTTAGTTCACACAAGGAAACAAAGCCTCTCTTAGTCTTTTATCTTTAAAATGTGCTTAGCAAATTGCTCAAGAGGCTTTAAATTGGTTTTGTACAGAAACGAAACACAGTTGTTGGAGCACTTTAGATGTATTTACCCTAAGCAGTAGTGTTTCAGATGGATCTGAATTACATACGTACCTCTAGTTGGACATAGTACTTTGCCTTCAGTTCAAAATAAGGTCTGTGGAAAAACAAAGAACAATTGTTTACAATCACTGGGATTGAATGCAGAGTAGTGGAGTGGGAGTTGCTTTCTTCGTAGCATTAACACAGCTAGTCTGTGTTTTGCTGCAATCCCGGGAGACTACTATCTAGATGATAGAACACCTACATGTTGTCTCAATGTCTCTCTTTTCCCCTCTAATATATCTATTTCTCATGGGTCTTTTGACCTAAATACAAATTGCAAAATTCCAGTTTTTGGAGATGACAGTATAATTCCTTCAGGCCTAGATTCTGCAAGATATTTAAATGTAATGTTCAGCTTCAGGCATAGGCATCCTCCCTGTAACCATCTAATTTCTGAGCTCACAGCACATAAATTCCCCACTGAAGGTGAACCTTAGACTTCCCCATGTGCAGATGGGGGTGTGGAAGGACAGGTCTTAGGTATTTCAGTGAAGGAGAGGGAATGGAGGGAGGTCAGAGCACCACGTGCAAGGGCACAGCATTTCCCACCAATGGTCCACCAGGAGCTTCCCTTCCGCTCTCCAACAGTTTGCTTGGATATGTAGGACAGTGTCACACCCAGTCTGTTTCCCACTGCAGACAACAAAACTTGCTTGTATGGTTGCAGGAGGACAGGGACACAAGAGGTGGAGTACAAAGGCTAGAAACCACATCCCAGCTTCAAAGTTTTGAAGCCCACAAGCCAATATTGCCTGATTTCTACCCTGACAGCAAGCTTCTGAGCTGTAAGTCCTACTGCAGCTACATTTTGGACTGTGCACCAGAACTCAGGAGTATAGAACTATGGCTTTCTGATCCTGTATGCTTTGACAAGTTAAATTCACTACACAGTCACACACAAAACAACGGAGTCACATTTCCCTGTGATTAGATTATTTTGTAGCTTCTATATTTTTAATCAATGCCCCTACTGCCACTAGGAGCACACAGCCAAGCCTTGATGTTTTCAGGTCTCTGACCCACTGAAACTGCACCTCTTCCTTCCCTCTCTGGGACAAAAACTTGCCAAAGTCTACACAGATGGATCTGCCAGGCACAGTAAAACATCGCAGCTGGGAGTCTGTATCCAACAGCTGAAGGACTCTTACAGCTGTACCCCAAAGAGACAGGAGGGCAGAGACACAGACAAAACAGTGTTGTGGGGAAACATGTGCAGGGTGAAACACACTCACCTCAGATGACCTGATTTTCTCCCTTCCTTACCCTGGTGCCAACTGGGAGGGAATAACCAGGCTTGAATCCTAACCTCCCATCAGCTTCCACAAGCCTGGGGGAGAAGTCCCCTTTCTATCAGCAAACAAGCATGTGTGTATTTGTGTGGTGTGAAAAAAATAATATAAATACATATGCATGGATGCGTGTGTGTATAGACGTGTAGGTATACACAAATATACACACACGAGTAGGCACGTTTACAGGTAACAGACAAGCAAGATGCCACCTAAGCCAGGAAAAGGATACCGACAGCCTGACATGTAGAAGCTCAAATGCAAGCACTCTTCCTCACTCATTGCTAACACACAGCCAAGCATCTGATGCCAGGAGAAGGCAATGCACTGGCAGGGGAGGGACTTATCTCCTTGGGTCACTACATTCTCTTACATCCACGACCCCGTAACTATTGAGACCTGGTCCATGACACAGCAGGGCCAGGGAATCATTCACTGATGAAATCAGCATCCTACGTCATCAGTTGTCAAAGTCCAACGCAGTGCATAGCCAGGCAAAGTGCTTTTTAAGTAGATGACAGGAAGAGCAAAAGGCACTTTGCCCGAGTCACTGGAGCAGAAAGTGACTTCCAAAAACCAGCTAACACAAGCAAGTTCATTACCCAGAGGCACTAAGCCAGAAGATCTGGCGACTGTTAAGAACATGCAGCCGTATGCACATTCATAGCTTACAAGCAAGTAAGCACCCAGAAACAAAATTAAAAGCAAAAACCAAAACAAAACAATCCAATAATCATCCACTCATCAACTTTACATCGCAAATCATCTAAATTACTTTCCTCCCGGCTATCCCAGTCTTACTTTCAAATAGTAATGCTTTAAGCATCTCAATCCAGACTGAAGTGAGGAGCAAACGCAAATCATTTTTTGCATGGAAGAGCAACTCATTCAGCATGCCTACTCACGGGTTTATAGAGAGAGGATGGACAACATGGGCCTGAAAGGCCCAGATCTTACAGCCAACACTCCCACACCACCCAGGGACAAAAGTAGAACAGTTTGCCGGGGTTAAATCCCTCCCAAACAGCAGCTAGTAGCCAGTTACACCCTACAATATAAGCAGCCACAAATTCAGCACCCTCATTTCCCCATTTTATGCAGCCACTTGACAGCACTGATGTTGTCAGCTCACTTTGAATTTTCTTTTACATGAAGACTGCAATGCTGAGAGACGACTGACATTTCTAACATCTCTGTCACATGATTTCAAATACATTCACAATAAGCCTGATTGCGCATCTTCCACTTTAATACTAGGTTAGAACTGGTGTTTCTGTACACCCCTTATTAAAAGATCTCCAAGCCACCCTACCTAGGTGGTTTATGCTGCAGTCAGCCCTGCTGCGAGACAAAGGAATATGCTGGGATCCTTTCACGCAAGTGAAAACCAGCTTGTCCTGAGGAGAATGACACAAGAAAACACCCCCATGAGGGTAGTTTCAGCAAGGAAATGAAGACTCAGAAGGCAAATCACATGAGGTGCAGCTGGGGCTTCAGGCTCAGCACCATCATTGTTATAAAAAGGTATGTAGGACCCCACTGACAATTTATAAGGGTCTTTATTTTAAATCTTATTGTCAGGAAGGAACTCCTAGCAGCCAGACCACTTCTCAGATATTGCTATAATCCAGAGGAATCTGTCATTTAGTGATCTGATGATGTTTTTCACAGTCCCTGTGCAGTGCTAGACAAACAGCATGCAGCTCATTCTAGGAAGCCACACTGCTGCACTCTTTCAGCAAACATGCTTGAATCTTCCTTGAGAAGTGCTAATCCTTTCTTGAATTGAGCAACCACCAATCAAAATAGATCTTTAGTTGACCGATTTCACCAAAAAGTCATTTTTAGATGGAGGGATTAAAAGCCAAATACAGCAAGCAGATTGTTTAGACAAGCTACAGTCTGGAAATATAAAGAAAGCAACTGTGAAACATAAAGAGGATTAAGAATTGGTTGTAAACAGGGCCAAAATTTTAAACAGGTTCTGAGCAAAAAGCTGTTTCACTTCTCTGCAACAGAGCAAAACTGCACATCAAATGCAGACACATTTATTAATGACACTTGCTGCTTATCTATGCTCTCTGAAGTGCATTGCCTTCCCCAAGAACAGCTCTTGGACAGCTTTGCTATAGCAGCGTTAGGAAGTAAACAAGTCTGATGTACAGCATGCTACTCAGATGCAGTCTCACACCTTTCAGGTTTCTGTCACTTGCTTTGTTGCTCTCCTAACTAAAAATAAGAACCAAACTGCAAACAGGCCTACGCTGCAAAACATCCACACAGAGCTCTGTAGTTCTGTAGGCAGCATCTATGGGAATCCCTTGAGCCTGTTTCTCAAGTCACATGTCACCAAAGGGTTTGGTGCATTAGAACAAGACTGAGGATATGCCCAGAAAAGGTTTCTTACCCCATTTAGTTCATCTGTCTATCAAGTCAGGTGCTTCAGAAGGCACTTAGAAGGACAAATGCAAGTACTAATACCAGTACCTTTTGTGCTGTGAGGCTGTCACAGGCAGACAGGAGCCCCAGGCAACACGCTTTCACAAGTTTAAAAAAACCCCACAGAATCGGTATCTCCCACAGACAGATTTCACCACTAAACTCATCTCCAAACGTTAAACCTACTTTGATTTATTGATGGCTCTTTTCAGCTTCTTCTCCAGCTGTTTCATCCTTCCCATAGCAGCATTGTATTTGGCTGCAGTCTCCTTGTGAACCAACTCACTTCTTGTTTTGGTCTGTTCCGCCTCCATGACCTTCAAGAGGAAAAATATAGGTTGAGTGGCAAGACACAATGATTCATTTCTTATTATTTTTCATTAACAGCATCTTTATAATATCTCCAGTCAGCTCATGGCAGGAAAGTGAGGGTGTAAAAAAAAAAAATTACTTTCAATGAACCTACTAAAAAGTCTTTCCTGAAAGGAGCAGCAATATGTCAAAGTAGCGAATGCTGTGCTAATTATGACAGAGGCGATGCAGCTTCTTGCATAATAGCTCTTACTGGAAGTTCAGAAGAGCCTCAAATTTTTGGATCATCCATTTTTTAACCCAGTTAGATATACAGGAGCAGAACAGCACTAGGAGAAGTCACCCAGTTACATTTAACAGCGCTGTTTGTGTTCCCTCCTGCTTCTCTCACGGGAGCCTGCCTTCCCCAGCAGAGAGCTGGCAGGCTGTTCAGCCCCCAGCTGCAGTCCCACCACTCTGCAAAGAATTGAAAACCAACCACAGCAGTGGGAGGACCGAAATGCAGTTCAGCCTGAAGCATCAGTCACCAGAAAATGGAGTGTCCAGGGACTGCCAGTTTGCAGAAGGCCAGGAAACGGGCTTTTCTCTTAAAACGGCAGACCAGCCTCAAATCATGGTTTTAACACTGAAAATGCACAACGGCTCAAGCCCTGAGCTGACACCCCTGTCACACAGACAAGGGGAGCTATGCTGGCAACCAGCCCACTATCCAGGCAGGGAGATGTTTCACGCGCAGCAGTCCCAGGCCCAACACGTCAGCTGCCCTCCATGGCCAGTCTGGGCCTTCCCTAGACAGTCAGGCTGCAGCCCTGCACATAAGCTAACGAATTCTATAAGAAATAATTTCTTCAAAGCTCTATAAACAAACGCTCACTGCTGTGCCATTTTGCAGCAATTAGGAGTCTTCAAAAGCAACAGGAAAAGTAAATGTCCCTCTACTAGCTGCTCTGCTGATATCCCATAGCCACGCTTTGCCAGTAATTCTATCCACGGTACTTCTATTGTGCAAATTTGTAATGTCATAACTGTAACTCAAAATCTGTCATCCTTAATGCACTAGCAGTCAAGATCCAGCCAGGAAGATAACTGATTTGTTTAAAGTAAGAAGAGTGGTGTCACCTCTCCATTGGCCTGGCAATGAGAAGAAAGCAGGCAGTTTTCAGGCTCCCTCTCTTGAAGCTATGAAGGTATCCATACAGACAGTGGCAGGACTCGATCTCCAGTACTGAACTTTGAAATGACTCAGCTGTGAAACCAACCACTCCACAACTTCAAGCAAATTTGCTCCAACCGGCTCCAACCACCAGAATGTGCATCTTAGCGCTCCGATCCAGTAAGAGAGAATATTCAAGATATCTTGATTTTAAATAACCTCATCCATAAAGGTCTAATTTCTTGAAAGTGTCCTTGCCCTCAGGCTAAAATGAATAGGGGGAAAGCACAGTCAACTTTGACTAGCTTGGAGTGCTGCTCCTCTCAGAAAAAATGTCATGTTGTCCTTTCTGATGCCTAAATCAAAGTGGGAAACTGCTACATGCCAAAGCTGAACTACCATCATCATCAACTAGAAGCTCTTGCTGCCACAACTGAAGGCCACAGTTTGCTCATCTGCACACACCACTTATTATTAAACAAAGAAGTTGCGACAGAACTTTACACTACAAGAAAGAAAGATTTCCAAAGGCTCTTTAGGTTAGATATAAAACAATATACTCAACTCCAACACTCTTCAACTATTTTATTTATAAATAAGGCATCCACTTTCAAAGAAAGGTCAAAAAATAATCTATCGGATTCTTAACAGGCTCTCACCTGCATCCTGAAAACAAGTTGCAGCCTCTTATCTTGAACTACTGTTCGAAAGCTAGGTTGATGCAATGACTTTCCCCAGCGAAATATGTCAGACAAGGCTGGTTTTAGCGTGGAAGTCTCTTAAATTAGAATGCAGTCTCCAAAGACTGCACAGAAGCTAGTTCGCCTTCTTTATAGCGTGGCAAGGAAACTGCAATTTCAAAATGCTGGGAGCTACAAAATAATGGAGCGGCTGGAATTTGCCAATGCTCAATTAAATGTCAATCCCTCACATCCATTCTTAGGGCAAAATCAACGTCAGCTTTGATATGTGACATGAACCACATGATAAGTACCACCAGCATCAGGGTCATAAAGCAGGTTTGGTATCCAGTACCGTGTTGATTTTGCACATCTTTCATACCAAACAGCACAGAAATGCTGAGCCCTGAAGAACTGGGATTTGAGGATGACAGATCGTACATACCTCAAAATATCTGACAAAATATAGAATTTGCTGCCAGCCATATATACCCATGTTCATTACCCTCTCTAGAAAGGAAAAAAAAAAAGGTTATATACTTCGTCCTTGTGAGAAATCGGTGTTGTAAGGAAAACCATTTCACCCCACTACCTTGTTTTCCTATGGGTGTTCTGTCATCATGTTCACATTATCCTCACAAGTCTGCAAAGAGGCCAGAGACAGCCTGAAGGTACACTGAGGCCAAGAACAATACCTGGAAGACTGTGAGGTATCTCTGTGGAGATCCATCACCTGGCCAAGATGCATTTAAGCTTTTCATTCAGACAAGAAACAAAAAGATCAAACGCCCCCTCTGCAAAAGCCAAATGGCCTTTAAATAGAGAACCTGTTCATCAGGGCAGGTGGATAGAAACAGACTGCAAACCATGCTGCCACCTCTACATCTGGCAGGTTCAGTGTAAAACCAGCTAGGGAAACCCCTCACCTTTTAAAAAGGTCTTAGAGGAACAACCAATAAAGCTTGTGTGGGAAAGAAGTGCTTTTAATAAGACCTAATAATATGGCTGGGGAGAAAGCAATCTTATATGGACTTGTAAACAAGCTTTTGGCCACAGTTACCATATAAGCTGTTTTCTCTAGTAAAAGTCACTGTCGTCTATCACCAGCCTTGCCTTGCTGATGGTCCTAAGCCATCACAGATGCAACAGCATCGCTTAGAAAAAGGCAGAGATAAAAGTGAGGATGACACCTCTTCAAATTAAAAATGCTCAAGACACACCTCTCCTCCTTACGTTGTACCTGCCGTTCGTACCCTTGGGTTGAGCAGGGGACATACTCTCACACAAAAACATCCAGAGTGGGTCAACTTCTAGGATGTCCACACATTCACTAGACATTTCTGTAGCCCACAGCTGTCCTTAATTACTACATCAATGAATTACTACTGTTTCTCTCTCAAAAGTCTTAAACCGATGGCTCTTCTAGGGAAAGAATTAGAAATAAAAGATAAGAGATGATGCAAGCTCAGTGAACCAGAAGGGCAGAATCAACAATCCAAGGGATTACATTTAACCCCTGCATTTTCAGGGTGAAGTGACAGAGAGATTAGGGCACAGAAGGATGTGGATATTTTGTTGTTTCCTTCCCAGACTTTTCTTTCCTCCCGCTCCTTTTCTCCAAGTATTTCTATCTACAAGAAGTATCTCTTCTCTCTACATCATGAAAGCACCCACGCATTTTACACTGACAGATGGTACTTCACGGTGTAATATCAAAGGGAGCTTCACAAGCCAAATTAAACCAAGAGAGAGCATGCCTCCTCCCTCTTCATTCTCCCCTTATCCCTTCCTTTTTAAAATGTCTCATGATCAAGAGCCAAAACATTTCTTCTCCCTGCCAGAATTTATGAACTGAACATATCTCAGGAAAGACTGTAAAAGCAGAACCTTTTTAAGATTGCAGATTGCATCAGCAATTAGAAATTAGCAATTTCTCTTGAAATTCATAAAGGATCTTCCTTTCTGCTCCAGCTTGTCTCAAACTTGAGGTAACACATCTGTCAGCACTCTCCTTTCGTACACATTTATGAATGATTTTCAACAGGAGTACAAATGCAAAGATCTCTCTCCTTCATCCCTCAGCCCTTTTATAGCCCTGCTCTCTGCACCCCAAACCGCAGCATTACAATTCAAGGTACCAGCAGATAGGCAACACACTTCCTCTTCCCAAAAATATTTTCTCCAAATTTTAAAGACAAACTGCAGTTACCGAAACCCTGGTAAGCCAATGGCTAACAGTGAACAGTACTTTTCTTCTCCAGGCAGCTTAGGAGCTTATCAAACCTCTTTACACACAAGCTAGGTGACTACACTTTCATGATAATAAACAGAGAATTCATCTTACAATGAACTTGCCCCTCTGGTCATATAAACTGTTCTCCAGACACCAACTACTTACTGATCAGGCCTCCTTTGACTATAATGGAAGTTTAGGCAAGTAACTGGGTCATACAAAATAATGTTCTAGACACATGAAACTGATGAGCTAAATCCCAGCCTAAGTGTCATTATACTTATCTCAGATCTGTGAAAAAATGGACATCTAGAAAAAAAAAAAAAACAAAAAACAACACAGGAATTTACCCAAAAATAGACATCGAGCAAAGAGTAGAAGTGGGTGAAGCAACTGCCCAACTTGCAGGATAGCACCACAGTCCTGTGCTTCACTGTGGTCAACACAGACACGGGCTCAAGTACAGACATCTACAGAGATGAGCTGCATCTCTGCAGTACAGGCAGGCAGGCATCCAGCTCCTATTTAGGCACCCAGCTTCCTTTGGAAACACAGCTCAAACTGCAAGGTGAAAAAATTGCTGAGTGACAGCCTGTACTCCCTGTACCTATTCATGCTGGTCCTGTCTGCACCACGAATAAAGAAATCTTCCACATGTTATGCTTCCAGCCCACCCAGGATAAGCAAAATTTCAGTAACTCTCCCATTTCTCACCAGTTTAATTATATCATTTTCTATATCACTGGCTACAACAGCCTTGTTTACAGTAACCGGTCAGACTGTCACATTAAAAATAGCGTTAATAGCTTTTCAGTTTATGAAGAAAACAACAATCAATTACAACATGCAACCTTTATCTCCATTTCCTTCCAGCGAGGGTCTGCAAAGAGCATTTCCTGTTTGGTACTCTGGGACCCAAGTCTTTGTCCACAGCCATTGGGTCAAGTGCAAAAGTAACCTGGCAGTATTTCCATACATGCCTGTATAAAAAATAAGCATCTCGTTTGTTCTCTTGACTACCCTTTTCCTTTATGCTCTCTGTTTGTATTGTTTGTCAGATACCAAGCTCCTACAGGGCTTGGGGTTTGTTCCAAATTCCAGATTAATTCAACAGAGCCTGCTACCTCTGCCTAAGAATAGCAAATAAAACCTCTATTCTTGCCTGACATTTCTGTCAATAAAGAAACAAATTAATTAGCAGCCCACCTCTAACATTTGGCACAGAGGTGCTTTTCTGCACTTGATTCATTGCCATACAAGGCCCAGTGCAAGATTAATCTCTGCCCAATGCAACTGTCGTTATAAATGTAGGCAAAAAAAGCTAGCAAATGCAAACAACTAGAGTACAAAAACTATCTCCAAGAGTGATTTTATACATGGAAGTAGAGAAATTCTATTGCTTAACTCTCAGACTTCGCCCTCAGAAAGTTTTTTTCCATTAGTAATTTCTAATGTAATTAATAGTTAACAGTCTCTGTTAACAGGGACACTGTGGTAGTCAAGGAGGACTTCTGTTCCAGTAGATCTCATCCCCCAAGCTGTTTTCATTCATACATTGGTAGGGAATTATGATGTTTTCTGCTCCTTGAGACCCCAGTTACTCTGTTTACTTCACTGAACTCCAAGCACTTCACTAATTTCATGCACTGAAACCAAGGAAGTATTCACTCTCCTTCTGAAGAAGTTATAAAACTCAGTCAAGCACTCCAAACAAACTAATGCTAGGTCTGTTCAATCAGGACTTCTAACAGCATTTTCACTATTCTTTGCTCTGGTCCTAGCCTAAAGACCTCCAGTCTGGCCAATGAAAATCATGAGACAAACTTCCAAAAATCTTCAGTACCCTGGAAAGGGGCAGATTGGTGCTGAGCACAGAGTTTACCCAGACTATTTTAAGCACCAGGAAGAGCTGGGTAACACACTTTCCATTCAGGGAGCCATCAGCTGCTCTATACAATCCAGTCTGTGCCTAGGAGATTTTATAAGTGCAGCAAATAAATCGAAGGTTCCTATTTGCTGTTCAGCTGTAACCATCAGAGACATTATAGTTTGAATCAGTTCCCTGACAAGCAGATATTCCACATTCAGTGATGTTATACATCAACGCCACCAGCACGACTCCACCAAGCACTGTCAGCAGCCATCTTCTGCTCTAAATCACTGGGTTTGCCCATCTGAGGTGTACTCCTCTCACAGACGGTCAGGGAAGGATTAAGGGTTGTAGAAGGATACAGGGATCCCCTTGAAATATCCAAGGAAAAGAGGAATCCATTTGAACTCTTAAAATTGCTAGCATTTCTTCTCACCTACACCAACACAAATTTTCACAATGCCTGCCAGAGGCAAGTGGCTGATACGTGGTTGCTGTCACTCTCCACCAGATCTCAGCAGTTTAGCAGTCAGGAGCTCTAAGTGACTCCCTAGATGCTTGAGTCTTCTCATCTATCTGTTCTGAGAATCAAAAATTGTGTATGCATTTCTGGACTTTGCTCATATTGAACAGGGATAACAACAACTAGGGAAAATGACAGCTGCTGGTGTCCTGGTGCACATGAATTGCAAAGGTGGGACTCTCTTCAGAAAAATGCCTAGGCTACTAGAGGTGAAAATACCTAATGATAACGGGGACAACACCACAAACAATACCCTGGAGTTTGTTTTCTCTTCTTTAATATATACCAGGTTTTCCATCTCTCCCCTACACACAGCCAACACCCTTTTTGTTCCCTGTTTCTTCATCAGACAGCTGTTTTTTACAATTCACTCAGAAATAGAGGCTTTCTTGTAACTGAGGAGCTTCTGCAGCAGAATAAAGCTACAGCATGGAGGACTGCAAGACAATACAAATATTATATTGCATGCTAGCATATTTGGAATAGCAAGTTCAGCTTCACTGGCATATTAAGGGAACTCAGAACAAAGGTTTTTAACTTCAGTTTTTGATTCTTTCACGTTAAAAAAAAGATCTTTTCTGCCTTTTTTTTTTTAATAGACAGGAAAAAAAGAGACACAGCAAATGACAGGAAAATTCTTTTTGACAGTTTCTAAAATTATTACCTCCTTTCATTGTTAGATGGTGCATCCCTTTTGTAGACTTAAAAAGACTTTACAAAGGAGTTAAGACCTTGTCTGAATTTGAAAGTTAATTCAAGATAGAGCAGTATGCCAGCTTAAAATGCAACACACATTTTTGAGTAATTCTACTTCCAAACACATGTTTCCGAAGCAAAGTGCCGTGTTCAACTTACTTTTAAGTATAACCTGTTCTTAGTACTTAGAATTGGTACATGTCCCTGTTTTTTCAGAGTAAGAGTTTCCACAACACATGTATTCAGCAACAGCCATCCCTATGCAATTATTCTGGCATAACTCCAAATGCAGATATGCCTTAAGACATTGTTTATCCTATTATATAGATGTTTTGTGTTTTTTTTCTTTAGAGAGCTACTTCAGTAGCTACACTGGCACAGACAGACAGAGAGCTACAGTTGTCCCAGTAATGGCTCAAATCATTTAACCTTAACTGTCACAATTTTTGGTGGCTTCTTTTCATTATACACGTCATGTATCTGGACTGATACAAAAATATGGCCTTTCAAAAACTAAGTGTCATACACCACAGGAGAACACAAAGTATGGAAGAGGCAGATGCTGGAGCAAGTTTGTATTACCCTCTGAGTAGCATGGTTGAGCATCTCTTGCCAGGCAGAGTCAAACTGACGTTTGTCATCTTCCAGTAGCCTCTGCTCCGCAAGGGAAATGGTCTCTTTTGCAGCACGCAGCACTTCAGTGGCCCTCTGAAAATCCTGAGTCGCCCTCTGAGCTTCCAGCTGTGCCTAAAAAAAGGAGAAGTTGGGATCAGAGACAAAGGAACACTCACACTCTCGTTTAGAAGATCTACCACACTAATCCCAGGACTTTAAAAACACACACCAGCCTCACTGTTTCCCAACCTTTTACTTGGAAGTGACACGTTTCCTCACTGGAGTTAAGTACTGCTAAGACTGTAGTTCCCACCCAAACAGGTAATTTGCAAAGAACTGTCTCACAGTGTTGGTAGTCAAAAAAAGCACAGCTGATGGCCTACAAATAAGCACCTGACCCAGAGATAAATATCTTATACGGGTTTAATCACTGAGAAACAAAACAAAAGAAAACGCAATAGCAAACTTCTAGCATGTCAAGAATACATTGAGAACGGCACTCCCTGAGTTTAGTCAGGGTGGATTTTTATCTGGTGCACCATTAATCACACTGAGGAAACGTTTTGGAAATATTACATTGCTATAAAACATAAACAAGTTTTCTGAGAAGGTGGCTGCTAACTCTTTGGGTCTTCTACTTTACTATCACTGGGACACAACTGGTGCAGCAAGTCCCCAGGACACAGACACAAAGGTACCCAAGGGCATTTACAATGCATGTACAACACAAATAAAGGCCCTGCTATGTGCTTTGGAGACTGCTGCTTCTTTTCAGGAAAATAACACAAAGTTTAAGCTTGAAGGAGGCACTTTCAAGTGTCTGCATGGAAGCAGAGAACAGGGTCTTCTCGTGAACGATATGGTTCTTGCTGCGAGAGCAAAGACTCCTCCAAAACAACATACAACCTTCCCAAAGCAAGCACATCTTAGAAGCCATCTAATCAGTAAACTGTGATCTCTCATTCTGGACCAAAAAAAGTTCTCCAAGACACTGCATTTACAGACCTTCAGCCCTCCTGAAGGTTTTAACAAGGTCCTCATGATATCCAAATCCCACTCTGAACAGTCCTCACGTAAAACGCTCACGTCCCATCTTGCACCACCTCCATTTTTCACAGCTGAGCATCAGTTCTCCAGGTTCCCTAACACAGCAGCAAGCCCTTGCCTATTCAGCCCAAACAGAGAGAGCAGCCAATAAAGCAGAAATAATTAAAATCATGCTGCAGGTTTCAGTAGTACCATGGTGACAAAAGTCATCACAGAGTTCAGCAGTCTGCAGTGGTTCACTTTAGTACCTGTGAAAAGTCTTCAATGTTCAAAAGAAGTGACTCTGCAATGAACAGACAAAGAATATCCATAAGCAAGTTACTGGTGTTGGCTCAGTTTTGGTTGGTTTGTTTGCTGTTCTTTTAAGAAGACAGAGGTATCCTCTTGTTTTATGTTTATCACGGAATGACTAGCAATTTTAACATTCAGATTTTCAAATATGCAGGTTTCCCATTGTTTTCTCTCATCAGAAATATTTAATTTCCGAAGCTTTTGTGTTCATTTGCTGTCTCTTAACTATAGCAGGACTTTACTGCCCCAGAGCCCTTGTGAGGTTGATGAACAAATACCTTGTTGAGCTCAAAAGTAAAATCTTTACCTGAACTTTTCTACATTACATATTTTATAAACTTCTATATAAAGTAGTATTTTTGAGTTGTTTCACACTGAAACAGCACCCTTCAAATGTAAGCTTCACATTCAATTAATTGAACTGTGTGGACAGTTTTTGTTTACACTTCAATGATTTTTGTAAAAATAAACTGGAATTACCCAGTTTATATGTATGGGAAATGTCTTTGACCAGACATGACTGACAGAAAAGAATAATGAGAAAAAATTTACATGTTATGATATCCAGAGAAGGAGTCTGAGGCTGAAACAGGGGAAAGGACTCTGACATACAGAATACTAAATTGAGGAAGATTAAATCTTATGAATAAAGGAAGAGGTTTTAGTGTGAAGAAATGGTGGTCACTTGGGAAGTGGCTAAAAATCCCTGATATAAGATGGGAACTAAGTAGGACAATGGTAGATTTCTCCATCAAACAGCTGGCTACACCTTTTCAACACCAGCTGCATCAAATACCTTCACACTTAAGACACCACAGCTATTTGTAAAGATAATTGAAGAAACCCTCCTCTCCCTGCCCTGTGGCAGGGGAGATGGACTCCTAATTTAAACACAAATTTCAAAAGGAAATAAAGCACACCAAGTTTCCTTCAATGTCCTGAAATAGCAGCAAGCTTTTCTTACTTCCTTCTCACTACAACACAGAGGTATTTCACCCCAGTGTTCATGGAAAAACAGGAGTTATGTGTCAGAGGTCCTTCAGCTCCAAGCTGGGGAGGGAAATCAAACTCATCACAATCAGTGCAGTGATTTCCTTCCGACCAAGATCCTTGATGCACTTCCTTCTGAAGTGGCTGCTGGTGTTTTCCATAGAAGAGAAATTAATCTAACCATGCCCTTTGCTGCTTTGCATTTTTGCTTTGCTTTCCATAGAAGAGAAATTAATCTAACCATGCTTTGCTGCACCACATCACTCTGTCTAAAGCCTTTGTGAAGAGTCAGGGCACTAAAATGTTAATTTCCAGGCAGGGCTGCACAATGCAAAGCAGCACAGATCTTTGGGCCAATATTAGTGGATAAACATAATTCTGGTATAAATTCATGGTTAATATGGTCTCTTAGAAAGTTTAAGAAAAAAATCCCACACATTATTTCTCCTCACGACCCCTGTCACCAGCTGCCTTAACAACATTTTATAAATTCAGAATAAGCCTGACTAAATAATTTAGACACTAACCTAAACCATGGTAACCACCAAGCACAGGAAGTCCATCTGAGGATCTTTAAACAAGGCTCACCCAAAGCTTCCAACAAAGGATACAACAACAAGCCTGAATCTTAGTTCCCAAACTATCCTCTGCTGAATTCACAACTTTTTTCTTCCACTAAGTTTGAGCTATGCTATTAAAGGGATCAAATGCAAATAAAGGCCAACAGTTTTCCATAAAAATAGTTTGAGATGAAATTTTTAAAAGTGAAATCGAATGCAAGACTCCAGTAAGAGCCTGCACCAAGTACTGCAGAACAGTGCTGTGGATGTTGGGAAGAGGAGCAGGGCTGATTTTCATGGAAGACCCTCCAAGAGGGAACCAGGTCCCAGTAACTTCCAGGCAGTAAGGCTGTCAAAGCCTAGCCCCAGCAAAGGCTTCAGCTCCACGGCTGCCCCACTGCAGGAGCGGGCCTGCCTGCACAAGAAACAACTCAGAAACACAGGAAAATGGCGTGGTGACCCATTCCTAGCACAGGCAGAACCGCACCAGCAAGTAACTGCTTTCGAAACTCTAGTAAAACCAGATCCCAGGGGCAATGTGAGCACAGGAGAAGTACAGATTTCTCACTGTAACTGCATCAGCACTTGAAAGTTTCTGTTGGCACAGATACCCTGGTCAGGGATCAACACAACTAAGCCAACAAAATGTCTGCAGAACATTAGAAGCAGAGTTACTAAATCCCCATGGAAAACAACATTTAGTGGTAGCTTGCAGTACTAGTAGCTCTTCTGATGAAGCCTCTAAAGCATAACTGGCTGCACAGCAGGAAAATGTTATGATAAGAAAACCAGAAGCTAAGTTTACAATTCAGCTAAAATTCTGCTCGCACCTGGACCTGTAAGACACTGAGAGCTGAAGCTGCTACCAAGCAAGCCCATAACTCTGGCCATGTTCAATTTCCTGCCCCACAACCGCGTGGACAAATGGAAAACTGAAACAAAACTGTAAATACTCTCTCCCAGCTGCATTTATTGAATGCTACTCTGCAACAGCAGTTTGGAAACACTGTTTTGGAACACAAAATGGGGTTTGGTTTAAGCAAAAGAGTTAGTCCAAATAGCAATTTAGCTTCAACAGCTATCTGAAGTCAGTCTACAGTCTTTTATTTTAAGCAACTTACTGAAAGCCTGGGAAAGAAAAAAAGACAAATGCTTAGGTAAAGAATGACACATTTGTCATTACAGAAACATCAACAGGTTTGTGGTTTTGCCAATGTGAAAGAGGATACTCAAACACTTTTTAGTTAGTTTAGTTACTCAATAATTAGCCTTCATTTAAAACTCCCTGCAGCATGTACGAGGTGTTCTGCACCATCACTGACAGATTGCTCTCATGCTCTCAGTCTCAAGCCTTCAGGTCATTCAGTTTGATGGAACAGAGAGTAGCCCTGTTCTTTACGTACTTTTAAAACCATAGAGAAAAACAGAAGCTCACGTCTCCATCCAAGCTCCTGACACTGCGTATGGATTTCTTCATTTTAGACAGTGGCTGTTTCTCTCAAGAGACCAGAATTCAAAATTCAAATGAATGGCTGAAAACTAGGTTATTTTGCTTTTAATCACAAAATTATGTTGGAGTTGAGAGAGGTTTAGCTCTGGGGTAGCATTAGGAAAAGTGTACTAGAGATGAGGACAAAAATCTCCAAGGGAGGCTGGGGACAAATGGGATGTCAACTTTCTGCCTGTCACCCATATTGCTGGAGCTAGATGGAGTCTACCCAACATTAAAGTGAGCATCTCTTTCAAAAAAGTCAGAAGAAGCTATGCCAGTAAAATCCTTTATTAAAAACAAAACGAGAAAGTGTTGAGACCTTGGGATCTGGAGAACCTGTGCCCAACTAGTTGCCAGTGAGGAGGAGCTCATTGTTCTTATTCACTGGTACTTTCTGCCAGGAAACTCAACCGAACATCCTCTCCGCTGCAGACCCTTCCCCTATTAGCATAGCATGTAAAATAGGACGCCATGAGAAATGCAATTAAGCAGCCACAGGGATCTCAGCTAAGGAGAATCCCACCATCACAGCAGTCTCTGTCACACGCCATACACACAGAGCACCAACTCTTTCTACCGCTGCATTCATCCCTCCTCTGCAACTCAGTACTCTGCAAGCACCCTGCCACGAACAAGTCTCCCACAACAGTAAAACCCTTCCCTACAACAAGCAGCAGCACGCCCAAGAGTCCTGCTCTGCCCACTCAGGTCCCTCCTCTCTACCTCTCCCTGTGGCTGAGAGCTTCCTCTTT